TACATCAGCTGGAATTCGATTCTTTCTGATTAGATTATTTTCCTACTTACTATGAAATACGAACTTTTGCGAAAGTTCCAAAACAGTGTTGAGCAACGCGATCACCGCAACTCAAACATACAGACCATATACCGCAACACATGTTCGTTCCAATCCGTTATCAGAATCGCCCCATCTTGGTTCGACTCCACCATCAGTGTGAAATAAAAGTTATCGAAGAGCAGTTCTGGCGATTTGGTTGTGACCCAAGGCAGGCTGTAAAACGTACAGCCCCAAGAATTTGATCGGTAATCGTTATTAGGCAGAAGGAGATTACGGTCATTGTCAGTTATCAAAGTGGCCATTTGGTTAGGAATGAGAGGAGGCCAAAGGCATCCCCACTTGGACTGATAGCTTGGGTCTGGTGCATTACAGCTGACATGACCATGTTGGTATGTTAATTTGAATTTAGTGATGTTACCTGAAATGGCTGATGTAAAGATACCACACGAATCATCTTTGGCTCCGAAGCAAACTGTAGACGGCGTCATCTGTATCCATCCCATGGCTGGGAAAAAAAATCAGTAGATTTTGAATGGATTTCTTGATTTTTTTAAACAAAAACATTCGAATGGGATGACAAGTTAGATGGCAAGACGGCTGCTGCTGGAAAAGAAAAGGAAGACAAACAGACTTAGAGTGCAGAGAGGCAGAGAGGGATAAAAAGGGACTTTTGGATGGGGCTTGATTCATAGATAGATAACCAAAATTTGTTCTCATTTGAAGTTTTTCATGGAGTAAAAGCGTTTTTACGTACCACTAATTATCTCATAATTGCTGCCTTCGTATCCTTTTGGGCAAACACATCTATACCCTTTGTCTGTAAATCCAGTCTGACAAGTCCCATCGTGTTGGCAAGGAGTTTGTCCACAAGTGTTCTAAGAAGTGTGGTAAGAGAGGTTGAGCACAAAAGTATATAAATGAGAGGAGCAAATGGTTACGATAATTTGAAAAAGCAGTTGAAATGTAATTTATGTGATTACAAGAAAACGGTCAGCCAATGAACCACCACGTGAATAACTTGATAAGAGGAAATTTGCTGTAAAAAATTATAACAAAAAGGGTAAATCGGTTACGAATGCTCTGACCATTGTTCTTCTGTAGCTGTAGTTCACTCAGAGCCTGAGGTCCTGAGGATGTTAACTGTGTGTGGCATTATTCAGCTGGCATTTAGTGATGGACGGAGAGCTGTTGGAGAATTTATTAATTAACAATATAAAGAGAAACTAAAGAAGGGAAAGCGTCACTTGCTTAAGAATGCACTGACCATTGTTCCTCCATAGCTGTAGTTTGCCCAGGGTTTGAGATCTTGGGGATGTTCATTGTGTGTGGAATTATTCAGTTCACATTTAGTGACTGACGGAGAGCTGCTAATCACTACCTCGTTGTAGCTGACGCAGTTGGGTTCCATGAAGCATAGAGTGGAGCAGAAGTCTTGCACAAGGGATTCTACGGTTCTTATTAGGTGATTTATGCGCCGTTTACCATGGAAAGCAAGAGATGATATAAATTCCAGTTTACGACATAGATCTATGAAGAATTGAAGATAATACGATGAACACCATTTGACTTTACGTGAGTTCACAACTCACAACTTCTTATCTAGACGGAAAAATTTCTTTTTCAAGGGAAATTAAGATTTGCTCAAAAAACTTGTGCACTAGTCTGTCTTCAGGAGGAGGTCGTAATAAATGAAAACGAAAATTATTTCGAGAAAGAAACATTTCTGATTCATTAAAATTGGTCTACTTTTAAGGTTTCACTGATAACCGATCAATAATTTATTATTGACCATGCAATTCTTTTACGAGTATCAATTTGGAATCCACAACATATTTAGGTGGCTTTTACCTGTCATTATCTCTTAAACAGTCGAGGAGTAGTCAAGTTTGTAGAGAGCAGCATGCCAGAATTAATATTTCCTTCCTGCAAGCTCTGAGTGAAGAGTGTGCTCTTTGATTACCTTCAGTTTTATGAATGTTACTCCATGGCTTTTTCAAAAGATGAGTCCCCTACTAACTCTGTACTACAACCTTTTGTAATATCCCTTAGAGGGATAACCGAAATAGCAGTGTGAATTATGATTAAATTCTCTGGGGTTCATGTTGGCATGATGAAGATAATCCATCCAAAATATCCAGATGAGAGGAAGACCAAAATGTAAATAGATTGTCGGGAATAAGGGCACAATTCCCTAGCCAGAAGCAGTATTACTGACCATGGGTCTGTTTGGTCTCATGGCTTTTGAGAGTGATTTCCATCTGACAACACTAACGAGTGAAGCTGCGTCGCTATCATTTTGAACCATTAGTCAAAATGTCAAAGGACTGTTTCCGTGAAATCCAAATTCTTCAAAAATTATGTTAAAGGTGTGTAAGCTAAGTTCAAGCCTCTTCAAGAATAGACACTTCATCTAAGGAACGAAGTGACGATCAAGAAAATAAAACCTAAGGTGCACATTAGCGACTAAAACTCTGTTCAGATGAATAAAACTGTAACTCACTTTTTCCTCCCGCATCTTCTACTATCAAGAAAGATAACAAGACTAGGAAGAAATAAAATTTGTTCAAAAACGCCATGTTGAAAACTAATTCGAGCAATTCCGTTCAGACATAGCTGGTGACTTCTGAAAAGCTTCTGAGGTTCTTTTAGCCGCTTTTAATATTACGAAAGTACGAGGACATGCATTTTTATGCCATTTTGTTCCTTTTGAGGGCTATGATTGGCTCAGAATTTGAGTGTTATAGATTAAGGCGGCCTTCGGTCTGATCCAGGTGAAAAGAACCCCAAGGAGCCCAACCGATTGAAAAATACACCAAACATCTCGCAGGACTATTATGAAAGAGAAAAGTATTGTCGAGTTTATAGGTTGATGGGCTAATTCACCACTCATAACAACGAATTAAGTAAAAGGATACATCATTTGTTAATCTTTGTCGTACATGCAGAAGACAAAATAACCCGTCTCTATCTGTCAATTCATCATTCGGCAAATTTCGCTTCATTTACTTTTTTTTTTTTGCAGCTAAAAGTGAACCCCACTGAGACTCTCAATGGGGTTAACTAAATTGTGAAAAAAACAAAATTCACAGAATCTAAGGTGTGCGCTTTAAGTGGTCTTAAATTTCCTAGTTTTCTCACTTCAAGATATGTTTTAAAGTCTTAAAGCTGGCACATTTGGGAGACTTGAAAAATATATTTCAGGCAGTCATAAATTATTCAATTAAACAATCGTAAGAATCGAACAGCCCTGTAAATATTATGTAAATTTCGGCTGATAATAATCAGGTCCCAAAACCTTAATTCCATATGTTCCTGCTCTTATCAGAAGCATGATTATATTTATAAAATTCATAAAATGTGATTCGAAACGAATGTCTTGTTTTTATTATTATATACATTTAAAAAGTTCAAGGTCACTGTAGAAGTTTACGTATGTGTGTAGGAATTCAAGCAGAGCGTTTAAAAGCTTGAAATAGAAAATATCCATTTCATGGAAATAAGTGCAGACTCCTGATCAAGAAATTTGGTCAAAAACAGACAAGTTTTCAAAGATGACATCTAATTGCAACATAGAATTTTTACAATGGAATATTTAATGTTGATGTTGATGCGCGCAAAACAAACAAATATAAAGACTGCTGTCAGAGTAATCATATCTTTCACTTAGCTATCCGTGATCTGCCCCACGACTCTGTCTTACAAATATAATGTACACCATAAAAAATACCATTACATAAAGTACGAGAATAAATAAGCATACAGCACAACCCCATTAACTCGAACCCCCCGCTAACTTGAAAAAAATCTGACTTCCCTTTGATTTTACTCCATTTTTTTTTTCAGTCATTTACTTGCAGCTAACTCGAACTCGGGTAAATCGAACTCCCTGTGAAAAAGGGTTTATTTTTAATATCTCTTGACCTCTTTTGGCTCTATCGATAAACGTCAGTATTAAAACATAGCTGATTGACACCTTCCAATCTTTACACGCGATTGACACAAACGTGATACCATACATGAACACGTAATACATTTAACTTACCTTCCCAAAATTGATATTGTTACAGGAAAAAAGCTCTTATGATACAAACTAAATGCACAAAAATGACTTTCACCAGTGCAAAAACAGCAAAAACATGATTCTATTCTAATCCTTAAAATAATTAAAATTCAGTGTTTCAATGACTATTCCTGAAATACTTTATTTTGGTAACTATGTCTTGTAAGGAATCATTATGACACCGTAAGTTGTTTCATATTTTATAGAGAGAGGAAATTAGCGGCAAGATCTCTGACAACGAATTTGTTTTTTTTTCTTTTTTCAACGATGGTTTACCCAGTTAGTGCGTGCGTGCGGTGCGGTGCGGTGCGGACGTGTCCTCACAAGCTCTGGTGTTATCTACTTTTTTATGCGCTTAAAGATGGCCATTCGTTTTCTAAATTGGTCCTTGTGGTTGATAATCCTACTGAGATGTGTTGGCGGGGATTTTCAAGTCACCTCTGAGTTTGACAGCTTCGAAAACCAGTTCCAAAGAGTTGTTGAACCAACTTCACCGGGAATATGTTACGCTTGGATTACTCGTTGGCAGAGAAGCTCATTTGCATTTTCCTCCCATGGGATGGTTTTCTTTATGAGTCATGCTCGGATTACTCGCTGGCAGAGAAGCTTATTTGCATTCTCCTCCCATGGGATGTTTTTCTTTATGAGTCCGAACAAAGGTTTGTTATTAAGGACTCGGAAGAGAAAATGGTTTAAAAGCAGAATATCTTATTACAGTAATACTACGGCCTCTTTTAACTCCATGGTAATATCTCTATTGGTTAGTGGTGATGTACATCCGCATCCTGGGCCTGAAGTCTCTTCACAAAATTCTGCGCAAATTCCATACAGTGAAAATGGTTTATCGCATTGCTTAAATTTCTCTCTACTGAACACGCGCTCCGTGCGTAATAAGACAATGGAGGTTAAAGATTTTGTGGTGGATTTTGATGTAGATATTCTAGCTTTTACTGAGACCTGGCTGAGACCACACAATATGGATGATGTTGAGATTGGAACACTGTGTCCAACAGGTTATAGATTCCTACATGTTCCCAGGAAACAAGGAAGAGGAGGCGGTGTTGGTATCTTATTTAAGGATGTGCTGAACATCAACACTTCATTAACAGTTGATTATGATACATTTGAAATCATGGATGTTCGTCTTCGGAGCCTATATAGTGTCAGGATCTTAGTCATCTATCGTCCACCTGATAATTCCTCTTTCAATCGATTTTTTGAGGAATTCTCACATCTACTTGAATCTGTAACTGTGGAGTCTTCTGATCGAGTCCTAATTACTGGTGACTTTAACTTGCATATGGATTGTCAAGATGATGTAAATGCCAAACGTTTTACTGACATCTTGGAATCTTTTGACCTTAAACAACGTGTCTGTGCTGGGACTCATCGCAATGGCCATACTCTTGACTTACTTAAAAATAAGTCTGATGATAACATGCTCAATAATATCAAAGTCTATGATCCTAACATCTCTGATCATTTGGCGGTAATGTGTGATGTCTCCATAAGAAAGCCCCAGTTTAGGAAGGAAGTTATCTTCTATCGGAAGCTTCGGTCTCTTGACATGGAGTCGTTTCTTAGTGATGTTGCTGACTACCCTCTCGTCATCGACCCATCCAGCGATCTCGATCATCTAGTTCAACAGTATGACACCTTATTAAGATCAATAATGGACAAGCATGCTCCTGTCAAGCGCCGAGTTGTTACTATTAGGCCTGCTGCTCCGTGGTACACTAATGAGGTATCTGTAGAGAAGCGTAAGCGACGACGCCTTGAAAGAAAATGGCGAAGAACCAGGCTGCAGGCTGATCGACAAGAATATAATCGTCAGTGCTGCGTTGTGGATAATTTGATCACGTCGTTGAAATCCTCTTACTACACTACCATCATTACTGAAAACTCAAGTGATCAACGGGTTTTGTTTAATACAGTATCAAAACTACTACAAAAGCAATCAACTGCACGGTATCCATCTTCTTGTAGTGATGCACTAGCTAATTCTTTCGCTGATTATTTCATTGACAAGATTGATCGTATCCATGCCACACTAATAGAGAAGAATTCTGCGCAAGGTAATGATGCTAATGAAGTGACTCTTGGTAACTACGTGGAATGTAACTCTGTGTTTTCAGACTTTATTAATGTCAGTTACGAAGACATCAAGGGACTTGCATTGAGATCTATTAATAAATCCTGTGTACTTGATCCTCTGCCTGCAGTGGATCAAGGAATGTTTCAATTTACTAACTCCTGTGTTGACTAACATAGTGAATACATCTTTATCTACTGGAGTTATGCCTGATGTCTTGAAGATTGCAGCTATGACACCGACTTTAAAGAAACATAATGCTGATTTCACTAAATATGAAAGTTTTCGACCTATTTCTAATTTGAAGTTTGTGTCCAAGCTTGTGGAAAAAGCGGTATGTGTCCAGCTTACAGACTATATTACATCTAATGGTCTTTCGGAAACGTTTCAATCCGCATACAAGTCATTTCACTCCACTGAAACGGCTCTACTGAGGGTTCAAAATGACATTCTTTGTGCTTTAGATCGTAATGAGTCGGTCATACTGGTACTTTTGGATCTGTCGGCGGCGTTTGATTCGGTGGACCATACTCTTCTAGTGACAAGGCTGTCTACTTGTTTTGGTTTTCAAGGAACTGTGCTTAAGTGGCTGAAATCATACCTGTCTTCACGTAAGCTGTTTGTTAAAGTTGGGAATAGTCATTCTTCACAACGTGCATTGAAGTGTGGTGTCCCTCAGGGATCAGTTCACCTATTGCGGACATAATAAATGATCATGGACTATCATACCATCTATATGCTGACGACACCCAATTATATATTACCTTTAAATCTACCAGCTTGAATGACATCCAACAAGTGAAGTTGAGAGTGGAATGCTGTGTGAGGGACATTGATGAATGGATGATAAGAAACTATCTTAAACTAAACCAGGACAAAACGGACCTTGTAGTCATCAGTTCCAGATTCCATCCCATGCCTGACATCGGTCACATTACTGTTGGTTCTGAGTGCATTGCACCTCGTGACTCTGTTCGTAATTTAGGGGTTCAGTTTGATAGCATATTTAGTTTTGAGGAGCACATTAAGAACATTTGTAAATCATCATTCTATCATTTGAGAAATATTGCTAAAATCCGCAAGTACTTAAGCCAAGATACATGTAAAATCTTAGTCCATGCATTTATTAGTTCGAAAATTGATCACTGTAATTCCTTATTACATGGCCTTCCTAAGTATCTGTTAGCTAGACTACAGGCAGTTTAGAATGCTGCAACTCGTGTTGTCACATTGACACCGAGGCATGTTCATATAACTCCTATTTTAATTAATCTTCATTGGTTACCAGTTGAGTTTAGAATAACTTTTAAAGTCCTTTTATTGGTATACAAGGCCCTTCATGGCCTTGCACCTTCTTATATTTCTGACCTTTTGAATTTTAAAACATACTCTAGGTCATTGCGTTCTTCATGTAAAGAATATTTAGTGGTTCCAAGAAGCAGATTGAAAACATATGGAGACAGAGCTTTCTCTATTGCAGGACCTAAATTGTGGAATGATTTACCTCTAGAGATTAGGAAATGTGCTTCAGTGGCAACTTTTAAGCAATCCCTTAAAACTTTTTTATTTAAGTTAGCATATAGGTTATGAGATTCCTTTTGTTTTGAGATGTTTTTGATTTATATAGTAGATAACTTAGGCTATATTTGAATTATATTGTATATTGTAGATATTTTATATTTTTTTTATATTTTATTTTGTAATTAGGTAGCGCTTTGGACAATTATTGGATTTTAGCGCTATATAAATAAAATTATTATTATTATTATTATTATTATTATTATTAGTAAGAGTTTTCGTCGGTTTCTTTCTCTTTCTTCGACCAATTGACAAGCAGAGACTGGATGATTGTGTTTCGCTCGTAATTGACCACGACTCTCTTCTCTGACAAATCCGATCAAAAAAGCTGTCAGGAAAGCCTGACAGCATCCCGTCCGGGAGAGGATGTAATATTGTCGCTGGGCAACCATTTTTTCACTCGGCTATGCATAATTATAATTGCCCACAATTGTCCCTTATTTTTATGGAATTGATGTCACGATATAACTACCGAGAGAAATCTTTACACGAGAAGAGTGTTCTTTCGAGCAGGTGCTGCAAACTGAATATTGTTGAAATGAAGACCCTGGCTTTTTTTTCTGACGGCTTTCTCTTTTCCCTTATGTGACAGTAAGTCAGTAACAAAGTATACCTTGGATGGCAAGGAGCAGGTTAGGATGTTTTTTACTTAACTCTTCCTTATACCACATCATGAAAAATCAGGTATTGCGAAAAGCGGACAAATTCACAATCTTCACAATCTTAATCTCGTATTTTCACGAGTTATGAAAATTAAAAAGCTTACCCCCCCCTCCCTCTCATCACCATCATCGGGAGAACGTAACTCTTTCAAAATCTGCCCTCAGTTTCTGAAACAAATGGTATCACAAACAAGAACACTATGTAATCATGATCAAAAAGGAATCATTCATAGACATTTGTCACATTTCGCAAAACGTTGAGAAATAAGAGTCCTCATCAAACGGACATAAAGAGAAAGTCGCGAGAGAGCCAGGGCCAATGAAATCGAAGTTAAGTTTTCTTTTTCCTTAACCCCAACTCTTTGCCCACTTTTCCTTCTGTTTTTACCGATCAATTTTGGATTTCGTTTAATTTACGTGCCAGGGGCTTCAATGTTGCATTTCATCGAGCGGCGGCATGAGCCCATTGACATGCGCTTGAATGAGGTGTGAAAACTGTGAATTTCTTTGGAGGCTAAAACTCAAGGTGAATTTTACGCGAGTTACCTCTACTTAAATAAATTGGTAGAATATGTTGATTTGTTGGTTTTTCAAGAAAATTGGCCAGATACTAACTAACAAAAGCGTGTGAGGCTTTGACAAAATTTGAAATATTTTCTTTGTAACGTCCCAGCGCGCGTGACAACGACCGAAATATTTTCTATTGTTCCACTTTAAAATTTATTTTCTCAGGAACCTTTAGGAATAAGTGTAAAAAGCAGCGTGCGCAGGACGACCTTGTTTGGAACCCTATTTTTGGACAGTAACTTTAGATAATCAAAGTTTTGGTATCGAAATATTTCTTGGTCGTTTTGCCTGGTTATTTATTCATAGTTTGTAGGTAAAACACATTTTTCTCATTGGTAAAACCTGACACAATTTTAATTAAACCCTTTTTCGGTGCACGAGTTTTGTCTGCATGGTATATTATGTAAGATTCGGTTCACGCCTTTAGCTGTGCGTATATCGAGTCATGGGTGCACTTACAAAGCTTGGAGAGCACTCAAGAACCTAGAGTCGCTCTCGACTGCACTTAGAGCAACTCTTACGCTTCTCTCGTGCTCTCCAGACTTCCCATGTCCATCCATAAGTTGAAATACCCTCGCTAAGCATAAATCAATTCTTTATCGGCAATTGAGGAGGACTGAAAATAGGCAAACATGCTGTACCATTCGGGTTTCTTTAATTAATCTATGTACAATCGAGTTGTATTTGACAAATTTTCTTATCCAGTGCTGCTGAAAATTAATATCTAAGGTAGGGTCTTCTGTTTTAAGGACAACCTTATCTCTTTTTTTTTCAGTTGTAAGCCAAGGAGAGTAACAACATTGAGAGAAGAATAGTTTCTATGTTTTTGGTTTTGGTGTTTGTTATCATAACTAGAAATATTTACAGCTGTTAATCCGTAGTCACAGTCAATATCCGCACTTATCACGATGAAGAAAGATAATTTAATTAATTTTCGTCAAAGATAATTTAAAATAACAGTTTTGTGATATTGACCGGTCCAAAGGCCTTGACCGGCTCTCGTTCACCATCCCTTAAATGTACAGACCATACGCCGCAACACATTCCAATCCGTTCCAATCCGTTGTCGCCATCTTTCCGATTGACCAAGGCCTCGCTGTATCAGAGTTGGTATTCTTGGTTGGCCCTTACCGCCGGATTAAAGTTCCAGGTTCAGCTTCGGCTGGGTCACTGTGTTGCTTTCCTCTCACAAAAAATATTATCTCAGTGCCCGTCTCCACTCAAGAGTGTATCAGAATACCGAGAAAATGTCAGTAAATCAAAAAATCTGAAGAGTAACCCGGCCATGTACGGACATCCTAGTTTCCACCGAGTATCAGCACTCCCAGCCTATTAATGCCTCTGAAACCGGGCTACCCTCCAGCACACTTACGATGAGCCATTAGCTGCAGTTAGCATTTTAAACTTACAGGGAAATGTGACTCTTACCGCATAGGATAAGGGTTCTTGGGTTTCAGCGGTTGAATCTTTAGAACGTCTTAAAATGAAACAATGTCTAGAGCTACAGAAAGACTGGTTGGTGAAAAGATAACTTTCTCTGTATGATAGGTGTAACCGAAATTCTTCTCTTTGGGTTAATAAATTGAAAAACATTAACTTTGGAGGCTGGATTTATGTTCGGAGCCTAACTAAAAACGACCTATACATATGGAAAACGAATGTGGACGTCGCAGAAAAAAAAAACTGTCACGAAAGTATAATAATGAACAAACGAACGACAATAATAGGTGTTTCGCGACGTCTGTTTGTCACAGTAGCATAGTGGTTAAGGTGAGTTCTGTATGTATTATTTGGTGGTGTGGATCAGGCCAAAGAGTACAGAGTATACATCAAGTTTCAAAGCTGGCCTTGGATGTGGCAGACTGAATTGATTCACAATACTCAGAATTACTCAGACAGCAATAAATACTGAGCAAAAAAAATCAAACTAAGAACAAAGCTAGAACAGGTGTAGCCTTGGAAACTGATTTGATGAATAACGACATCAACGTGTGTGTTGTTGTTAGAGAAACATCTCAAACCAGAAAAGGCAGAGGTTCTCGTCAATATTCCTCGTTTATACAATCTCCGAGAGGACTAGGATCTAGTCGTTGTTATAGGAACAAAGGCGGCGTGGGTGTTTATGCGCAGAACAAAAATTTTGTTATTGACGTTTTCCATTCTGAATCATTTTCACTGACTGGTGTGACTTTGCTTTTGCGCATGGCATTCTCTTTGTCAGTTTCCAATCGTTTGCAATCAAAAGTATGGGAAATATGAACTTATGGAGTACATTAGGTGTTCTTGGAGTCGGTCACCTAATCGTCTTCCCGTTTCACCGATGTATAACTTCTTGCAATGAGTGCAAGTTATGCATTGGCTAAGGTG